AAAAAAAAAAAAAAAAATCAGAAGATCTGACCATATTGAACCAAGGCCCCCCAGCACTGAGCCAGCTAGCTGGGACAGGGAGACAGCTGCCCCCTTTAACAGCCCCAGGCCCCACCAGTCCCTACAGTCTCCCCACCATGGAGCCCACAGCTACCTAGAGCACTTTGTATAGAGGAATCAAAAGGAAAATGGCACATTTCTCACACTCAACTCACTTCAATGGTGGTCGCGTCAGAGGCCTGTGACTCTGCATGCCTTGGTCTACATTCTGAGAAGAGCAAAGAAGTGTCAGGGAAGACGAATGGTCTTGAGTCTCTGCCAGGACAAATCCTGACCAGGTTTACGAGCCTAAGGACTGGGATTTCTAGCCCACCCTCCCAGCTCCCCAGAGCTGATCTTGGGTGCCCAGAAGTCTAGGCAGCAGGTGCTGAAGTCATCACAGAACAAAGACAGCTGTCCAAGATGATTCAGGGCCCCCAGGAAGGACAGCCAAATGCACTTGACCCAAGAACATACACCCATGCCAAATGCAACTGCTGGGCCCAGGCCAGCAGGAAATGTTCTCCGTCTATGCAAGCGAAGTAAGAGTCTGCTCCCTGGCGGAAGGTGGGCCTGAGGCCACTGGGGTCTCAGAGGAACTGAACACGCTGCTCAAAGCCCAGAGGGCACTGAGCTGGAAGGCCTTACAAATCCAGTTACTGTGGATAACCTCATCAGTGCCACGGCCCTCTGGCTTTGATAATGACGATGATGACATTAGTAGCAACCATTTATGGGTCCTTTAATACATAGCAGGCACTGTACTCAGCAATTATTTTTAATTGAGTGTAAATGACATACAGTAGGTGAACAGGTCTTAAGTGGACAACTCAATGAGGATGTTTACATCTGTGTAACCACCACCCAGACCATGATACGGAACATTCCATCACCCCCCTAGGCCCCCTCATGCCCTCCCCTGTCATGACCACCCTTGCAAAGTTAACCACTATGGGATTTCTGCCACTGTGGATTAGTTTTGCCTGGTTCTGAACTTCAGGATAACAGAATCACACAGACCGTATTCCTGAGCCCGGCTGCTTCCACCCAACATCGCGTTTGTGAGCTTTGTCTGTGTTTCCAGGCATAGCGATCCATTCTTCCTCATCATTCTATTGTATTTCAAGATACGAATAAACAACAGCCTATTCACCTATTCTACTGCTGGTGACATCTGGGCTGGTTCCAGTTGGAGGTATTTGGAACAAGGCTGGCACCAACACTCGGGAATGAGTCTTTGCGCAGACACTTGTTTTGATTTCTCTTTGGTCATGATCTAGGATTATTAGGGAATTGCTGGGATTTAGGTTAAGTATTAATACATGTTTAACTTTATAAGAAACTGCTAAATGGTTTTCCAAAGCATCTGTGTCCTTTTGCATTTCTACCCGCAAATGATGAGTGTTTCAGTTGAAACTTGGTATTTTGGTGGTTTTCAATTCTAGCTATTCTAGTGGGCGGGAAACACACCCCCCTGCCTCAGCTATTTCTCATAATAACTCTTTAGAGACGGATACTATTTGTAGTGGGTTAAAGATGGCCACAAATTCCCGACGTTCCTCCCATATCCTCTCCCCTTGATTAAGGGTAGGCTGTGTAACTGCTTTGACCGATACACTACAACAGAATGCCACTGTGTCAAATTCCAAACAGGCCGCAGGAGACCCTGTAGCTTCTACTTCCTGCCTATTGGAATGACAGCTGCAGGGAGGCCGTTCGGCCATGCTATGAGGAAGCCCAAGCCAGCCATGTGAGGAGGCTGCATGGAGGACAGTCGCATCAACCAGTCCCCAGCTAGACCAGCCATCCTGGCCCAGGTGCCGAGCAAGTGATGAAAGAGCCAACTGGAAATCCCCACCCCAGCAGGCGGCATGTGGCCCAGACGAGCGATCCCCTCTTCACTCTGCTCAAGCCCACAGCATAAATTGTTTTACGCCACTAAGTTTCAGGGTAGTCTAATGCAGCAACAGATAATAAGAACCATTATCTGCATTTTATAGAGGAGAAGATAAAGGTTCAGAGAGGCAATATGATGTACCCGAGGCCAGGCCCCACAGTGAGAAGAACCAGAGCTTCAAGTGCCAACAATTGGCATCGTATCGGAGGTCAAAACAGGTCCCAGCGCAGAGTCGTGAATTTCAGTCACAGAGTATGATCAAGGACAAGCTGGTGGAAGAATTAATACATCAGACAGGAAGCTGGACTTTGATTTCTAATAGGCTGATTTTATCAGAAAGGAAGTGGCTTCTGTCTAAATCATGCAGCATAGCGTCTGGCTTCTCTCAGACCGCTAAATTGATCAAACAACGTTTCTGAAGGTCGAGGCATGGGCCTGGGAGGCAGGGGTCCATACTGTGACATCACCTGCCCCCTGGAGTTCCCCACTCATCCCTACCTATAGCTAAAGAGAACAGGAGGTGCCAAGCTAGGACTGATAACCAGAAACCTCTCTCTGCAGCCATGAAGCCTCACAACGCAAGGCCACAGGCATACCCGACGAGCCAAGCGCCAGCTGTTAGGGTCCAGAGGATTCCTATAACATACACAGCATAGGCACAGAGCACAGCTGAAAGGTGCCGCAAACCCAGCACCTCCAGGGACGCCCAAAGCATCATGCATTTGTAGGGCACGCTGGGTCCATTCCATCAGCGCAGACACCGGAAAAAGTCTCTGCTTCTACAAGGACTCATTCCACTCCTTGGAATGTGGGACCCTCTCAGTCTGGCTTTATTTTCCCACTTTCAGTAGGGTCAAAAGTACAGGGAAATGTAATCTATCAAAAACATACGAGCACATGTGGCTGTGGAGTCAGGGAGGCTCCCCAGGGAACAGCTGGCGCTCTGATGAGCAGGAGGGCACACTTGCTCTGCACAGCGGGCAGTCTGTGTGCCAGGTGACTTGGCAATGCTTACCAGGTAGGAAGAAGCACCCCAGGGGGCCAGATCTTTGCTTTTCTGAGAGAAGCCAGAAATCCAGATTTTTTTTTGCATGAAATTCTAAAAATGTCAGCAGCTAATGCTTGTTTTTTTTCTTTCTTCCCCCAGAAACATCAAAATATCTGTAGACAGGATTGAGCCTGTGGGTCATCCGTGCATGGCCTGGAAATAAAATCTTTGCAGAGAGCAACTCCAGGCTCCAGCTTAGGAAGACCTTCCCGATGCTGCCTACAAGCCTGGGGCACAGACACATGCTACCTGCCAGGGAAGCCCGGATGGTTTTCCAGGGATGAGTGGAATGAGTCTCTCTCCGCCTGTCCAACTTCTCCTCCCAGGCTGGACAGAGGGTCTCTTTGCACAAAATGCCCGTGGGGATGATGAGGTGGGACTTGGGAACAAAAGTGTCCCTGGAGCATTTGTCCACACCATCTTCCTTCCAGACTTGCCTTCCCTGCCTGTGGCCAAGGATCTCCACCCTGCGACAGCCACCCCATGTCCCTGGCTTCCTCCTTGCCTTTGCATGGGCTGGTCCCTCTGCCTGGACACCTTTTCATCCCATCTATCAAATTCTATTTCTTTCTTCGCCCATTCTGCAAAGCCTTCCCAAGCTCCCAGGCAGGATTTAATGCCTCTGCTCTGGGAAGCTTTTGCACCTGGAACACACCTTCACAGCACAACCAATGACTGGTATCCAAATTGGTCTCCCCCAGTAAACTGGGATGCAGTGAGGATGGAGACCAATCAAGCTCCCTGGAGCCTCCAGCTCATCATGTGGCCCCTTCATGAGAAGACATCCGATGTTTGGTGATGAGGAAAGCCTGTCTTCTTGCCTAGCTCTCACCTGGACCCACAGCTGAACTTTAAAAAGAGGGGAAAACACACAGGTCTTCCTGGGAATGTTTCTGTCTCATGCACTTCTGTGACCCTAGAGTCTGGCCCAGGGCAGCCACTTAAATGTCTGCTGAATATATGGGGAGCACACAGAGCTGCTATGTTGTGCTGTTTTGCACAGAGCCTGACACAAGGTAGGTGCTCCATAAACATCTGGGGCTGTTGTTACTGCTACTCGCTTGGACTCTCACAAACACCGCCCTTCCCAGGGGGATAAATCCACACCCCTGGGCCTTGGTGGGCAGGCTGCTTCTGCCCTCGGGAGAGGCAGGGCCTGGCCGCTGAGTACAGCTCTGCCCTTTGGGCCTCCTGCCAGAAGCCTCAAACCCGGGTTACTGGTTTGCCTTTAATAAGCGTAGAAACTTCTAGAAAATGTCATCACTGCGGCTAGAGGCTCCACACAAGAGGATCTAGAGGTGACTTCTTAGAGAATTTGGAGTTGAGACTTTGTCTTCTTCCATCTTCTTCCACACCCAGCCCAGGGGATCTGAGCCAACAAAACAGGGTAGGAGGCAAAAGCTGAGAGAACAAAAGGATTCCAGAAGGAACTCCATGCCCAACCCCGCCATGGGCTGTGGCTGGGCAGGAGGCTCCTCCTAGGCCTCGCAGGCCTGAAGCCATTTCCTGGCTGTCTCCATGTTTGCACAGCGAACAGCGCAGAGCTGAGGAAAGTTAAATATAGTCTTAGCATCCCCACTGCACGGCTCCCCGCATCGGTGCCCGAGAGTGCCACCTTGTGGCCCACTCGGGCTCCTCTGCGGAATGAAAACCATCTCGGGGGAAGGAGGACATCAAGATGGCTGCCTCAGGAAGCACTTGGGGTTGAGAGAGCGAGTGTGTGTGTGAGAGAGAGAGCGTGTAGAGACGGAGTGTGAGAGGGAGACAGTGTGTGCGAGAGAGTGTGTGCGTGGGGCTTCCTCTCGCTGCTGGCCGCCTCCCCATTTCTTTTGGTTGCTAAATCACCACCAAAATGGCTTCCCCAGAAAACTCTTCTCAGGCCCTGATGTCCGACCTGGGCCTAATTCAGGCCTCCCAGGCAGACACTCACCATGTCAGTCAGGCTGCAAAATTCTTCCAGCCTCAAGAGCATCCCCTCGATGGTCTCCTCCACCTCCTTCGCCTGAAAAAGAGACAATATCCTGGAGATTAGCAAGTGGTTTCCAGGGAGACAAACACCCTTCCTTTTTTTTTTTTTTTTTTTTTTAAAAGCAAACTATGTTTTAGGATTATGTGCCCAGTTCCTTCTAGACCCCCTTCCATAGCCTGGTTTGAAATAGCAAGAAACTGGCAGCAGTCCTGACGCCCAGCAATGGAGGGCTGGTTAAAGCCAATGCAGGCGACTCAGCCTATGTGCTTCTCAAAAGAGAGATCAATTAACGCTAACTGGAAATAACAAAGCTACTCTTATCCTCCCTGCTGCAGAGATGAGGAAACTGAGGTTCAGAGAGGGCCAGTATTCTAACATAGGCTGGAGTTCAGGGCCTCAGCACCCACTCTGACAAACTCTGCTACATGACCCCTGAACAGCCAGAGAGGAAAAGAAGGGCACTGAAGGTGTTAGATGCAAATCTATCTTAGTAACCACACAAAAAAATAGACACGGTTAACAGAGAAAGGCTGGCCAGGCACAGTACCTCATGCCTGTAATCCCAGCACTCTAGAAGGCCAAGGTGAGTGGAATGAGTTCCAGACCAGCCTGAGCAAGAGTGAGACCCCATTTCCAAAACTAGCCAAGTATTGTGGCAGAAGCTTATAGTCCCAGCTACTTGGGAGGCTGAGGCAAGAGAATCGCTTGGGCCCAAGAGTTTGAGGTTCCTGTGAGCCGTGACACCACCGCATTCTACCGGGGGTAACAAAGTGAGACTCTATCTCAAAAAAACAAAACAAAACCAACAAAAAACAATAAAGAAACCCTATTAATAGTGCCTTTAGCCCTGGGGAGTAGGAATAGGGGAGGGGCTCCAACAAGGAGGACGTCAGTGTTTTATGTTATGTGACAGGTCCAACACTCAAAAGACTAGGCCAGGCAGTGACATAAATGAGTTAAACAGGTCGCTGGAGCTTGTGGTCATCTGAGAGGTGCTGGTCTAGTTCTAGAACTGTCCGCCAGTCGTCACCACCAAGAAACACCAGCCCAGGCCTGCTAGATCTTTCCATCTTTCAAGAGAAGTCAGAAATTCTAATTTGATGAGAAATGTCCCCATATTTAAATATTGGCACACGTTCAACAAAAAATCTTTAACACTTCTCAGGCTGAGCCAGTCATGACTATCGAGAGGGCCTTCCCGGGTGAAAGCCCCTCTGTATTTATTCGTAGAAGTATCAGTTCGAACCCTATCTCCCTCCAGTACACACTACTTTCGTGCCTGATAATATACTCGTTTTTGGTGTTGCTTTTGTAATTAATGACCAGACATTCAGGAAGAAAGTTCACCGAGAACATGAACCACTTTCTCTGGCTCATCAGGCCATATGGTTCTGCTGCGGGGAGGGGTGGCCAGCATTTCTCGGCAGGCCTCATCCTCGCCCCTCCACACCTGAAGGCTCCCTCACCACCCACTTGTCCCCAGAGAAATGTTTATACAGTGCCAGTGCCTGCTGCTTCCAGTGTGAGCTGTCGCTACCACAACAAAATTAACGACTGCACAAAAAAAAAAAAAAAAAAAAAAATCTTGCAGGCTGGAGAATAAATAGCACCAAGTAGCAATTTTAAACTCTGGAACCTTCATCTCACAGCTGGGGCTATTTCTGCTCCTCAACAGGGCATGGTGGAGGGAAGACTAAGAACCATGAAAGAAGACCTCACCCCTCCCAGAAGTAAAACTGTGGTCTAAAAAATGTCATTATGGTACTGAGGGAGAAAGATGGAGGCCAGAGGTCATGGAGGTGGGAGATGGGGGAGGTCGGTTGCTCCTTCTGACCCAGAGGAAATGAAAGAGAATAAAGGGGTGCTGGGGCAGCACCTGTGGCTCAAAGAGTAGGGCGCTGGCCCCATATACCGGGGGTGGCGGGTTCAAGCCCGGCCAAATTGCAAAAAAAACAAAGCGGGGGTGCTGAGGGATGACAGAGACTCCCCGGGAGCATGGTGTAGACATCCCAGACCTCAGTCCAGGCACAGACATGCTCAGGAAAGCAAAGCCTGTACCCCAAGCTCTCTGTAGGAAGCACATCTCAGGCTATACTGACACGTTCCAAAGGACACAGCATGCTCCTGGCAATCCTGGGTTCAAATCCCATCTTCCCCTTTGCCAGCTGTGCAACCTTAACCCAAAAGCTTCACTTCTGTGTTTCACTTCCCCCGGCTCACCTGTGACAGCAGCCATCACACCCATGTGGCATGGTGGTCAGAAGGTAAAGCCCACATGACAAATGTGACTAAATCATTTTCCACAGAGCTGACACACAACAGGTACATGAGAAAGGGTTACTTTGCATACCCCTCGCATTAGATAATGGATTAGCTCACTTGAGTCTCACGAAAACCCAATACAATAGATGCCACTATTTCTTCCTTTTATGGATTAACAGAGGATCAGAGACGTTCAGTCACTTGCTCAAGGTCACACAGCTAGTAAGTACTGAAGCCGGAATTTGACCTTGAGCAATGTGACTCCAGAACTGACGTTTGTGACTGCCAGAATGCTCTTGGGAGGAGGGGAGGAATGTGCCCCCTTTATTGCTGCCTGTCAGCTACAGTCGTTCTCTCCCCGGATTCACCCTCTGGTACCTAGGGTGGTGCCCCAAAGCAGGGAGGAGCAAAGAATGCATTTGCTGACAGTTCAGTCAGCTAAAGGAGAAACAAGACAGAGACATGCCCAACCAACAGGAAGGCGCTCAGGATTTGCCAGCCCACCATGCCCACAAATTGTTCACGGGACAATTTTCTCTCAAGATAATCCCCTAAGTGGCCTCAGAAATGAGAGCCCCGCAGGCTGCAGCCCACGTGTCTTTTTAACCAGCCCATGAGCAAAATGGACGACCTTGCTGTTCTCTGCAGCTCCCTGGGCATAAATTGCTCCACTCCGAGGGGAGGGAGGTAAAAGGCTCACTTTCAGTGACATTCAGGGAACCACCGGTGGAGACAGTGAGTGCGCTTTTTACTTAAACACATGTAAATCATGGCTGTTGCCTGTTTCCCCTACTCCTCCCCTTCTCCCAAACTGTCAGTCCAAGCTTCCCAGTGGGCCAGGCCAGAAACCCGATGAGGGGCTGACCCTGCCCCCCGAGTGACTGGCACAAGAAAACACCTGAAGATCTTCCACCCGTGATCTTTCCCAACTCAACAAATGGAAACTCCATCATGCACTTCCTGAGGCCAAATACTTGAGTGTACTTGACTGTTCTTCCTTCTTCTTTCTTTCTTTTTGTTTGGAGAAAGTCTTACTTTGTCACCCTTGGTAGAGTAACATGGCATCATAGCTCACAGCAACCTCAAACTCCTGGGTTCAAGCGATTCCCTTGCTTCAGCCTCCCAAGTAGCTGGGACTATAGGTGCTCCCCACAATGCCCAGATATTTATAGAGATGGGGTCTTATTCTTCCTCAGGCTGGTCTTGAACTCCTGAGCTCAGGCAATCCACCCTCCTCCGCCTCCCAGAGTGCTAGGATTATAGGTGTGAGTCACCGCGCCCAGCCTGACTGTTCTTTCTCTCTTACTTCCCACCCCATCCAGTCTGCCGGCAAATCCTCTCCATTCTCTATTATTCAAAATGTCTTTACCCAAATTGGATGCTACCATCATTCTGGTGCAAGGCACCATCATCTCCTGCTGGGACTAGTGCAGCAGCCTGTTCACTGGTCCCTTGCCTCTGGCTCTGTGCCCCTTCAATCTACCCCTCTGAGGGATTCTGTTAAAACAGAGCTTTACTCAAAATGCACCACTCAAAATGCTCAAGAGGCGAAGGCGCCAGCCACATACACCTGAGCTGGTGGGTTTGAATCCAGCCGGGGCCTGCCAAACAACGACGGCTGCAACCAAAAAATAGCCAGGCACTGTGGCAGGCACCTGTAGTCCCAGCTACTTGGGAGATGGAGGCAGGAGGATCACTTGAGTCCAGGAGTTGGTGGTTGCTGTGAGCTGTGATGCCCCAGCACTCTACCCAGGGGGACAGCTTGAGGCTCTGTCTCAAAAAAAAAAAAAATTGTGCCACTCTACCAATTCTACCCACTGGGATGGCTACCATCACAGAAATAGAAAGTGATAAGGGTGGGCAAGGAAACAGAACAACTGGACCCCTCACTCACACCTGGTGGAAATACAAAATTGTATCGCCACTTTGGAACCCGGTTGGGTGGTTCCCCAAAAGGAACACAGTTACCCTGGGATTAAACAATGTACCCCAAAGAAGTGAAAATATATGCTTTTATAAAAACAGGTACATTATTCATAATAGAAAAAGAAAGAAAGAAAAGAACCCAATGCCCATCAATGTATGAACAAATGAAATGTATGTATCCACATAATGGAATATTATTTGTCAATAAAAATGAAGTACTGGTACAAGCTACAACGCAGATAATCCTTGAAAATATGCCAAATGAAAGAATCCAGATGCAAAAGGTCATGTAGAACATACTTCCATTTACATGAAATGTCCAGAAGAGGCAAATAAATCCACAGAGACAGAAAGAGATTAGCAGCTGTCTCTGCTCTTGGGGTTGGGGTGGGGGTGGGGGTTAGGAGATAGCTGCTAATGATTAGGGGGTTTCTTATTTGGGTGAAAAAAAAAATTCTAGAATTAGATCATGGTGATATCTGCACAACATAGGAAATATACTGAAAACCACTGAATTGTACATACTTTAAAGTGGTGAAGTTTATGTTTGGTGAATTACACATCCATTAAAAAAAAAATCCTCTTCCCTTTCCACGGCACTCAGTGAAGACCAAACAGAGGCCTCCCGAACCTCCACCCCTCTGACCTCACTGCTACTGATCCACCAACCACACTTGCTGCATCTTTGCCCCAGGGCCTTTGAACCTGCTGTGTCCTTTACTGGGGAAGATCCTCCTTCACATCTTTCTAGCCCTTTTGCTCAAGCATCTCTCCTCACAAGGCTGCCCTGACCTGCAGCACCCCACTCCCGGCCCTCCTGCCCTGATTCATCTTTCTCCTTAGCA